CTTTCTAACCTGCTGGCAAGTAATACATCTTTTAATTATATTCTCTATCTCATGGTCAATTCCAGGCTACCACACAGTCTCTCGCTACTAATTTAATTCTATTCCAACATGTGTCTTGTGTAATTCGTCAACTATTTCAGTTCTTAATTTTTCTGGAATTATTCTGATTCCCCACATCAAACATTCATTCTCAACGTTAATCTCTAATTTTCTGTTAAAAAAGGCCTCAAATTATCCTGATTACATGTTGTCGGCCATCCATTTAGCACAAAATACTTGACCTTTGATAAAACGAGGTTTCTCTGTGTTTAAAACTTTATTTTATTACCAGAAATTGGCAAACTTTTAATTTGCAAAATGCAAAAAAACTTCCGCCTCATCATATTGGTCTTCAGTAACAATTTCTAGATAATGCATTAGCATTTTTGTGATCATTAGTGCTTTTACAAACTATTTTTATGTAAATACTGAAAGAAAAAGAGCCTATCTTTGGATTTGAGCAGCCGCTGAACTAGGGATGCTTTTGTTTTCCTCAAACAACCACAAAAATGGTCTGTTATCAGTTACTAATGTAAATGGGTTGCCATACAAATACTGAAAAAACTTTTTAACGCCAAATACATTTGCTGCTGCTTCTTTGTCAATCTGAGAATAATTAAGTTCAGCTTTTGAAAGTGTTCTAGATGCTAATTCAATGGGTTTCTCATTGTTGTCAAGCAATCCTTGGGACAGCACAGTACACCGTCTATGCGAGGATGCATCACAGGCTAAAATTAGCGGATACACTGGATTAAAATGGACTAATACTTTTTCGGATACTAAAAGCTTCTTTACATTGATAAAAGCAGTTTCTTGTTCACTATTCCACACCCCCGAATATTTTTTCTAAGCAGCCAATTTAAAGGAGATAGTATCTGAGAAAGATTAGGCAAAAAGTGTCTATTGTAGTTTACAAGTTCCAAAAATGATTGCAGCTAGTTAACATCTTTGGGTCTAGGACAATGAACAATTGCCATTGTTTTATTATTATATCATGCACAAAGGGGCACCGTCTGGCGGTGGCAAATTAAACATTTGTGTAACACATACATAACAACCAACATCCTCCAGCTAGCTAGAATGAACGGCCATGTCTTCGTTGGCCTCTCCACCCAGGGCCACGCTGACCAACTCATTGAAGATGTCTGGAAATTGAAGAGACCCTCATTAAGTCCTTCCCCTTCTTCAAAAGGGCAGAAAAGATCATTGATAGTAACCTGCCCCTCTTTGTGGAAGATGCAGAAGTCATTGCTGCCCTAAAGCCTTATGGAAAAATTACCTTTATTGACCCAGTATTCCTCACTGTGGGAGGCTTTACATTTGTGGACAGCAGGAGGGAATTGTTCATTCTGCTGAATGAAGGGATGAAGCTGGAAAGGCTGCCACTGCACCTCGACATCAAGTCCAAGGGGGAGACCCTCCCAGTATTCCTCTTCTATAGAGTTAAATGCTCAGGGTGCCAGAGGCAGGGACACTGTAGAGTCAATTTCCACCTGAATACAAAGACCCCTGAAGAAGTCTCTGGGCAGGCACCCTCCAACATAGCTCCACCTCCCACTGCGCCCACTGGACAGCCTACACTACCTCCCCCATTCTTGGCATCTTCAAATGTGGCTGCTGCACCTGCGATAACCTCAGACACTGTCGCAACCACTCCCTCTCTTGTGGTTGCACTAAAGTCAGCCCCCAGGACGAGCAAGCTAAATTCGGGCAAATGCATGCCATCTCAGGGGAAGAAGATAAGATCCAGGTCTCTATTTCCTCTAGAGGCGGATCCAAAACTCAGCAACAACTAAAGGAAATGTGTGTGTGTGTGTGTGTGTGCTCGAGAGTATCCCCAACTCCCTCTTTGACGAAACAGAACATCTTGGTCTGGATAAGGGTGAAATCATGGATGCCCTCATCTGTCCCTGGACTACAGAACCTCCTTAAGTAAATGAGGAGAGCGCAAAAAAGCAGGCCCCACAGTGTTTCCCAGAAGCTTCTGGATTGCCTGCCTGCCATCCAGGCTCTCTATAATCACCTCCTGGCCGTCTGGGCCCAGACAAAGAGCTCCCACTGAGCATCCACCTGGCTTCCATCAACATCTGCTGGCTCACCGCTCGCGAGAGGAGCATCGAGCTCTGCCACATACTGAGCAAACATTGCATAGACGTCACCTTTGTCCAGGAGACCAATGCCATGTCACTGGATGCTATTCAAAATCTCTGCCTAGGCTACCTCGCCACGATCGTTCCTCCTACAGCCATAAGGAGTTCGGGCCTCGCCAGCGTCTTAGCGCCGGGGGTTGCTGCCCTGTGGCCTGGCCAAATCTCCATAGTCTACTCAATATCCTACAGCCAGGAAGTGAGTGCTATCAACTGCCACCTGTCTCATATTCCTCGCCAGCAGCACCAGCAGCTGCAGATCATTGCAGCAACCGCAGTCCAGGATAAGTCATGGGTGGTAGCTGACCTCAATATCAACGAGGAAAGCACAATGGACACAGCATCCGACTCAGTGGAGGCTCTCTCCCTGCTACTGGATCAGACAGCCCTTGTCGATGCGCCCACATTTTTTTACATTGCCCAAATTCCAACCAGAGTGGTCAGCTATGGGAGCTGTGTTGACGGCTCTCTCCTGGACAGGGTTCTTCTCCCTTTGAGCTTCGCGGATCATGTCGTCCAGTACAGTACCATCCACTACAGGCTCTCAGACCATCGAGCTGTCCTTTTTCAGCTCGGTGTGCCTCCTTCACCTCGCCAACTGTGCATGGCTGCAATGCTAGGCTTGGGTCTCATTGTCAAAAATCTGGCAACGATCATTGGAACAACCTCTATAGCCATCACTGATATGACTGGCACAAATCTGTGGAGCAACTGGTCTTCAATCAAGGCTGAGCTGCTGGCGGAGGTGATGCCCTAAATGCCCTAGACCGCTGCTTCTTGGTGTCTCTGATGTTCTCGCTGTCGCTGTCATTGGTCTTCATTGGATAGTTTCTGTTCCTCTATTGGATAGTTTCTGTTCCTCTACAGTCTGAGCCAGAGGCCTCCACACCGAACCCTTGCAGCTTCTGAACGGTGTGAAACAGGGCTGCGCGCCTCCGGCATAAAGGAAAATTTCACCAAGAGCAAAGGTCTATGATGTGACGCTTGGCATGCCCACAATGACGCTCCACTGGGCATCTCCTGGTCATCGGTCGAAATAAAGGTGTTGGGCTTCAATGTGACGCCAGGAAATCGAAACTCAGCCCAAGAACGATATATCCAGGCCCTGCTCGAAGCTTCTATAATGAGGTGGACTTCCTACACCCGTGGTCTCTCTCCTGTTGGCCGGGCCAGAGCTGCCAATTCCTTGGGGCACTCCTCAGTGATCCATCACTCTCATGGGTACATGCCTACTGATTGTACCATCCACAAGATCCAGGTACGTCTTGCACAGTTAATCTGTGGGCTGGAACACCACCTGGTTGCCTGGTAGCGTCCTGGCGAAACCCATCTCTCTTGGAGGATTCAGTCTCATCAAAATCGAGACCCAGCTGCAATTGTCATGCTCCAAGGACGTGCAGGCTGCGCTGCATGGCAGTCGCAATGCCTACTCCTGGCTGGTTGAGAGCGGTGCATCGCTATATCTCCCACCATCCAGGTCCTGACTCTCGCCATAGCTTCTTAAGATCTGGGAGGCGATCATTTACATCCTCACGCTTGACCACTATGCACTTACATTGCCTCAGCTCTTGAACCTCTCCATCATCGGTGGCTGTCGCCTTCTCTGGCTACCTGACCTGGTTCCTCCCTGGTGTAACAGTGTCTGCATTGGGGACTTCATTGGCCTGGCCTCTCCCCTACCCAGCCTATGCATTGTTACCAAAGCGTCACACACTATTTATTTATTTGGATTTGGTCTTATTACCTTGTGTCTTTTTTATATTGTATTCCAAATTTTGATTATCAATTATTTATTATCAATTTGATTATCAAATGTTTGAATAAAGTATTTGGAAAAGGTTGATGTAAATCATTTTATAATTTCCATACCCCAAACCTTCTATATTATTGAAATATTGTTTTTTTATAAATGGAAAATACTCAATCTATTAGTACAAATCCAAAATATGCCTTATTATTGAGAATATTTGAACTATTGAATGTGCTATGTTCTGAAATTTACATGCAATATTAAACTATAATTTCAAAAATGATAATTATCTTAATCTTTATCACAGCAAAATAATTTTTATTCGGGTCTTACCCGATTAAATGATTTTATTCAAATACTATTCGTTACAATTATAAATTGGCGCCATGGATGTCATTCTTGTGAAACGTCCCACTCCAAACTTTGTGTCTGAGAATCGCTATTTTTATAAAGAGATGATCTGGCTTTGTCTTCTGCTCGAATGAATGTTTTTCTGTTAGAATTTTGTTCCTGCATACTAAAAATGAACTGGCTCCACCCATGGTCTCTGCTTTTTGGAATTTTTCCGGATATAATTTTGTATCTGATAATCAAATATGATACAGCAATATTGTCATAATCATTTTCTGACTAAAAAAACAACTATTTTTGCCCAGAACCTGTCAATTTCAATTTTTCTTGGCTTAAAATGCTACAAATATCTCTTCCATATTTTTTTCTATGTCCTGTTAAAACATGTTTTACATGTACATTAGGTCAGCTGATATTACCTCCCATCTTCACCGCTAGAGGCGCTGCTTGCGAGAGAAAGAGCAAATTTGCAACTCAAATTTGCAAATAACTCTAAGAATATTTGGGAGAGAGAACTGAAATATTCCATATAAGTTTTTCCAGATTCTACTATACATACTGCTAAAATTTCAGTCATATTAGTTACGTATTTTACGTATATTACATAAAAGCATTCCATTCACAAATGCAAACGATGACAGAATTGATGACGCTGATAATTGTATATTTTAATAATAATATAAATGAGTTTTAAAAATTGTAAAAAAAAAAAAGGCATCCGCCAGGAAATGAACCTGTGCCACCCGCGTGGCAGGCGAGCATTCTACCACTGAACCACCGATGCTTATAAAAAATGGCCATATTTGGGTGTTTATTCCATTCACAAAAGTAAACGGTGACTGAATTGTTGATTGATTGTTGATTGATGACTCTGATACTTGTATATTAAAATTTTCCAATTTATAATTTTAAAAATTTAAATTATATATATTATATATATATATTAAATTTTTCCAGGGGGTTCTGTGGAATCTGAACGCAATATCTTCATACGGATCCTTGCTGGTCTAACAACAGGATCTGTGGCTGTTATGGCTGCACAGCCAACTGATGTTGTCAAAATACGCATGCAAGCGGACTCTTCACAAGGTTCTATGAGACGCTACCGATCTTCCTTCCAAGCTTACCACAACCTTGCAACCACTGAAGGCTACAAAGGTCTTTGGAAAGGTAAGAAACATTTTAGAATATATATCATAATATGATTAATAAGTATTCATATTCTAATTTTAAAAAATGGGAGAAGTGGATAATCCCAAAAAGTAAAATAAATGCAGTTATCTACCACACATCAGCCTCCGAAATTGCTAATTTCCCTGATAAAGGTGTTTCTATTTAAATCCCCTACAAAAGAATCTTGAAATGTGTATTACTTAATACTGCTTTTGTTGACATTATGACAATGGTTAGTAGTTGTAGTATTTGTAAATATTTCAATTAATGTTAGACAATTGTTGCACCGTTGTTTCAAGGGTGGCCAAATAAGCATGCAAGATCAGTAAGGATATTTGTTCGACTGCTCTTTATTTAACTTTGTGCATTCATGGAGAACAAAGTAAGTCATAAAAAGAGCATCATTCAGCAGCTGCCATTAACAATAGGGAGGTTGACTTCACTCCCGACCACCAGTTGAGCTTCTACCTTCTTAACTGGTTCATCCGCTCCCCCTGCCAGGTATTCTTTGGGGTGAACACATGTGGTCGAATTGAACCAGCTTGCCACCATGGCGATGCCAAAGCTCTCTTGTCACAAGAGTATATACAACCTAATCTCTCTAATTCGACATCACAAGGGATCAGAGATTTCTGTTGAATTAAACTAAGTGTTGAATTAGTCAGTTAGATGATTTCATCACATCATTCACAGCTAGTGAACCTTTTTTCTAGTATAGCCAAATATATTATTGAATAATATTTTTTGAAAATACTGTTGTAATATATTTTAATTTAAAATATGAATTTATGCCATTTTGAGACTTTATTAATTTCAAAGTAATTGTATGAAATAAAATTGCATTAATACATAAAAAAAAGGAAAAGTACAAATACTATTTATTTTTTCAAAGTGAATAAATGCAATAAGAAGAAAGTGAATAAATTTAGAGAATAAAGAAAAGGCTAAACATTTTTAAAAATCATCTTTCAAAGAAATATTTTATGGCTGTTTGCTTTAGGCTAGAACCCTATTTAGTGTGCATTCTACAAAAGGCATGCATTTATTTCCTCTTTTGTATGTAATTCTTTATAGCAGACCATTACCATTTATGACACTTCATTGTTGATACAGGGAACTAGTGGCCACTTGAGTTAGGCCTAAATTGTCCAGGAGGAAACCTAAACTGTGTGACATCGGCACCAATATTTGTGATGCCATATTGTAACACTTTAAAGTATGGTGCACATACGAAAAGTATGGCCACTATGACCTGCGTGCCAAAGTATTGTATTTTTAGCAATAAATTAATTTATAAACAAGAATTATCTAATATTATCAAAATTTGATTTTAAAAAAATATTTGAATTATCAATGGAGTTGAAATTTCATTTGGTCAAATTAAGATTGGTTATTTGATAGGCTGGAAGCTGGGACATGAAAACATGGTTGAATAATTGTAAGAGTTAAATTAGTGTAGAGTCGAATTAATGAGCTATACTGTATACAAAAATATTTTTACCAAAGTGTTTTTAATTTAATGGCTTTCATTATCAAGTTTTTTTTTTGCTTGAGACACTCATTGTGGATTGGAAATTTGATTTTTAAAATGTTTAAATGCTTTACTACTTAATTTCATTTTATTAAAAGTTTTGGTTTTGTTGTGTTTTAGGTACTATTCCTAACCTTGCCCGAACATCAATTATCAATGCTGGTGAATTGGTCTGCTATGACTATGTTAAAGAATTTTTGATTCGAAATACACTATTTAGTGACAACATATTTTGCCATTTTACCTCAGGATTTGTAGCTGGGTTTTGTGCTACTGTTGTGGCTTCACCAGTTGATGTTGTCAAAACGAGAATAATGAATTCAGAGCCTGGATATTATAGTTCTATTTTCAACTGCACTGCAACAATGTATCAGGAAAATGGCATCAAAGCATTTTACAAAGGGTAAGTTCATATCTACAACTTTTAATGTCATATTTTAAAAAATATATAGCTATTATAATTTAATCTGACTACCACATTTGTGCTTTTGTCCTTTATCAAAATGAATTATTTAGCAAAAATATTATGCCATTGTATACCAATGTGAATATTGAAAATTTGAATGAAAATAGTGTAAAAGTGAAATTTTACTGAGATCAGGTTGATAAATTAATAAAAAAATCATCTCCTGATCGTGCAACTAAAACTTTCTTACCATCTGTCAGAATAAATATAAAATAATCATTGATTTGTAATTATTCAAGAATATTGGCCAAATACTCTTTCCTGTTTAAAATAAAAGCCAACCATGTATGCATTTCAGGCTGTTGGTTTTCACCAGCATGACTAAAAAGCTGGTCTTTGACCACAGATGGTGCAAGCCATCAGCAACTTTTGCATGATCAGGAGATTCTTTTTTTCTGAAAATTCAACATAAAGCTGATGCATTATTAACACTTTGAGCCCGTGAGAAAAAGAGAGGCAAATTCCTCTGGGACGTGCATTTTTTGAGTGTTGTTAAAAATTCATAAATCACAAAATTGATGACTTACATTAATTATTTTATTTGAAACTACTTATATACCCTTTCTAGTAACTTATAAGACTGCAAAATATTTTTTATAAATGATTAAAAAATTAATATGACATAAAATAGGTAAAAATATACAAAAAAATTGAATTCACTCCATAATATATGGTTGCAAAAATATATGTACAGTAAAACCCCGCTAATACGAACCCTGGATATAATGAACCTTCCCTTATAACGAACCCACGCCGATTCCCAATTCCATTCCATTGAAAATACCATCGTTATAACGAACTTTGCGATTTTTAGAATAACGAACTACCCCTATAACAAACCTATTTTCGGTCCCAAAATGATAAAATCTATTTAAAATACTATGCTTATAACGAACTTGGAATTGTAATTTAAAAAAAAAATTAAAACAACCAAATTTTGAGCTCGCGGATCGCGATTTCAAAACAATAAATTTAGCGGCATTGTTTGTTTTGAATTTTGCACTTTATTTTTGCTGTATGTTGTATAAATTTTAACATATTATACTTTTTATTAAATAGAATATATTTTCATCCATTAAATTTGAAATATAAAAATACAAAATGGCTTCCAAAATGAAGAAAACAAAGGCATTTTAAAAACAAAAGCGTTATTTTAAAAAAAAAAAGGCCATTTTCAGAACTTTTCAAAGTGAAACAACACAGGCAAAATGTTAAGAACATATTAAAATAAGAGAATATAACTTTTCTATTATAAAAGATAAAATATAAAGCTATTAAAAATTGTTACAAAGAGGAATCAACCTCAACTTTTGCCGCGATCGCGATCGTACGTTTTAGGGCTAAAAAAAAAAATCCTAATAAATGGTCCCGTGATCAAACAAAAACTATTTTTATGCCATTAACTATGGTGATTTTAAAGTCAGCAATGTTTTGCATGACAGGTTAAAAAAAAAAAAAACGAAATCTAGACCTAGAAGAATATGTGGGAAAATGAAATGGAAGAAAAACACCAACTTTATTTGAATGGTGCAATGCTTGAAGAATGCTTTGAAGCAACAAGGTGTTAGAGCCATTTTTCCAAGTAAACAATGTATTATATAATGTGATAATGATGTTTTAAAATCATTTTATATCTTTGAATATATATTTAATAAAACTTTGCCTAGGATTTGTCTTGATTTTTAAATTAGACATAGAGGTACATGTATGTTAATGATAAGAAGAACCTATCATCTAATGATTTCTATTATTATTCAGTATTAATGTAAGGAAATTGGTCAATTATGGGAATTAAAACAAAGTGACCACTATTAAGAGGAAGCCTCTTCCAGTGTGTATGGCTGTCCTTTAATTATACGGTCTAAAAATTTTGTAAAGTAAAAAAAATGGCCAAACCGTGGCTATAGTGAACCGTGGCTATAGTGAACCAAAAGCTCTGTCCCATTGGGGTTCACTATAGAGGGGTTTTACTGTATATAGCATATCTAGATAAAGAAAAAAAAAAATATGTAGGGAAATAAAATAAAGAAATCAAATAATATTGAGATTAAGTCCAAAATTTTTCTTTGGTGTGGTAAATCTTGAAGCAGTCAACTAGACAGAATGGGACCAAACAGGTCTCGCACATCTATGCAGTATCCTTCCTTGCTCTTTTTCCTGTTTTTCTTTTTCCTTTTTCGGAACAGACTTCACATTTTCTCTGAATATATGTGCCTTTTTTCCCTTCCACTTTGATTCTGGTTATGAAATGCTTCCCCAAAAGCCTATCTGGGAAACCAGAAACACCTTGCTGCTTATCCAACATTTCAACACCTGCCTCTTCAACTAATTTTTCTAAAATTCTCAAATTGAATTCTCTTAGGTTCAATTTCTTGTCCTGGTTCAAATTATTGTAAATAATTTGTGAATTTATGATACCAAGGTTGAAAAGGTGGAAAAATACTCCACTTCATTGTCCTACGATAGAAAGGGTAATAGGACATGTATTGATCACTTCGATCAACACCAGTTTTATTTTTGTTGTAATCAACAACCACTGCTGGTTTCATTGTTAGCTCTAGTTCTGGAGTTCTTTTAGATCTTTTAGGTGCCTGAATCATTTCTGCCTCTTGAT